TGTTCCGTGACGAAAATCACGCCCCGATTGAGGATCCATGCTCTGGCGAGGCTGTTTTTCCCCACATCCTAAGTGCGGTTCCTGCCTGATTTCTCTGCACATTCTTCGCGCAGGAGTTCCTCGTCCCACCCCTTCTCTTCCTCACTCACACAATCATCATCATCATCATCATCATCATCATCATCATCATCATCATCATCATCATCATGATCATCATCATGATCATCGACATGATCATCATCATGATCATCATCATGATCATCATCATTATCATCGTCAGCAGCAGCATCAACTTCAATCATCATCATCTTCATCATACTCACCATCATCATTACTATTATCATCATCACCATCACCGTCAGCACCACCATGACCATCACCGTGACAATGACGATCACCATCACCATCACCATCATCATCATCATCATCATCATTATCATTATAATCATCATTAACATCATCAGAATCAACATCTCCATCACCATCATCATTTCTTATTGCTATCATTACCTTTATTGTTGTTATTGCTCGTATTACTAATTTCATTATCACCACCATCATGACCCGTATCATCATCACCATCACCATCATCATCACCATCATCATCACCATCATCATTATCATCAGCATCAGCATCACCATCATTCACACCATCATACTCAACATCATCATCATCATCGTTGTCATCATGATTATCATACCCATCATCATTATCATCAGCATCACCATCATTCACACCATCATGCTCAACATCATCATCATCATCACCTTCATCATCATCATCATGATCATCATCATGATCATCATCATGATCATCATCATTATCATCGTCAGCAGCAGCATCAACTTCAATCATCATCATCTTCATCATACTCACCATTTTCATTACTATCATCATCACCATCACCGTCACCACCACCATGACCATCACCATGACAATGACGATCACCATCACCATCACCATCATCATTATTATCATTGTCATCATCATTAACATCATTATAATCAACATCTCCATCACCATCATCATTTCTTATTGCTATCATTACCTTTATTGTTGTTATTGCTCATGTTACTAATTTCATCATCACCGCCATCATGACCATCATCATCATCACCATCACCATCATCATCACCATCATCATCATCTTTATCATCAGCATCACCATCATTCACACCATCATACTCAACATCATCATCATCATCACCATCATCATCGTCGTCATCATCATTATCATACCCATCATCATCTCCATCACCATCACCGTCATCATCATCATCACCGCCATCACCATGATCGTCATCATCATCATTGTCAGCATCATTGTCATCATCGTTATCTTCATCTTCGTCATCATTACCATCATCACCATCACCATCATCATCATCACCATTATCGGCGTCATCGTCATAATCACTCGCTCACTCACTCATTCTCTCACCCACTCACTCGCCGCCACACAATGATCCACACCATCATCACCACCATCATCCTAACCACCATCACCATCACCATCATCATCATCATCATCATTAACATCATCAGCATCATCACCATCACCATCATCACCATAACCATCGTCATCATCGTCATCGCTATTTTCATTATCATTGCCATCATCGTCATCGTCATCGTCATCGTCATCGTCACCCTCATCATCGTCGTCATCATCATCGCCATCGTCATCGTCATCGACGTTATCATCATCATCATCATCACCATAACCATCATCATCAACACCACCAGTACCATCACCATGACCATATCAGCAGCATCATGATTCACGTCATCAGAATCAGCATCTTCACCATCATCGTTCTTATTATTATCATCACCTCTATTGTTGATACCATTCATATTATTATTATTACTTTCATCATCGCCACCATCATGACCATCATCATCATCATCATCATCATCATCATCATCATTATCACCATCACCAGCACCATCACCATCAACATCACCATCAGCGTCACCATCACCATCATTATCATCAGCATCATCATTCACACCATCATACTTAACATCACTACCATCACCATCATGAACGTCGTCATCATCATCATACTCAGCATCATCTCCATCACCATCACCATCATCATCATCACCGCCATCACCATCATCATCATCGTCATCATCATCATTGTCATCATCATTGTCATCATCGTCATCTTCATCTGCGTCATCATCATCATCATCCACATCACCATCATCACCACCACCATTATCAGCGTCATCGTCATAATTACTCGCTCACCCACTCATTCACTCACTCACTCACTCGCCGCCACACAATGATCTTCACCATCATCACTACCATCATCCTAACCACCATCATCATCATCACCATCATCATCATTGAAATCATCATCAGCATCATCACCATCACCATCATCACCATAACCATCGTCATCATCGTCATCGTTGTTTTCATCACCATCACCATCATCGTCATCGTCATCGTCACCCTCATCATCGTTGTTATCATCATCAGCATCGTCATCGTCATCGTCATCGTCGTCATCATCATCATCATCGTCACCATCATCATCACCATAACCATCACCATTACCACCACCAGTACCATCACCATCACCATATCATTATCATCACCATCATCACCATCAGCATCGTCATCACCAGCATCATCAACACCTTCATCACCATCACCCTCACTATCACCATCGTCATTATCATCACTATCATCATATCATTCGTACGATCACTACCATCGTCATCCCTATCATCACCGTCATCATAGTCACAATCATCATCATCATCATCATCATTGTCATCGTCATTACCATTATCATCATCATCACCATCACCATCGTCACCGTCATCGTCATCGTAATCGTCATCATCATCACAACCATCATCATCGTCATCATTATCATCACCACCATCATCACCATCATCAGCATCATCACCATACTCACTCGCTCATTCACTAATTCACTCACTCACCCATTTATTCACTCACCCACTCACTCGCCATTACACCATGAGCATCACCGTCATCATCACCACCATCATCATCAGCATCATCTCGCACGCACTCACGCACCCAATTATACTTCACACAATCTCGCACACTCACATGCTCATCTTGAGGGAAGTCTCAGGCGGGAGACCCTCCCTGCGGTTCCCTAACCTCCTGTCCGAATCCGAGCGGGTCATGCGAAACTTGTAATTTGGCATCGCTCGGACGTTCGCATCTTTCCCCGGCGAGGGCCATCGAGGAGTATCTGGGATCATCTGGCGAAAACAAGCGCACGAAATCGGAACATTCACGGGTAATGGACGTCCGATCGATGGCAAGGTAAGTGCCGTCACTTTTGGGCTCCTCTGGCCTGAATCTTGAGGGAGTCTCAGGTGGGAGCCTCGTCAGTGAGTGAATTCTTAGGAAGTCTCAGGCCGGAGCCCCCTCCCTATGGGTCCCGCACCTAATGTTTGAATTTGAGCGGGTTATGCGCAGCTTATAATTGTCGTCACTTTTGGGCTTCTCGGGCCAAAATCTTGAGGAAGTCTCACGCGGGAGCTTCGCTGTGGGTGAACTGCAAGGAAGTCTCATGCCGGAGCCTTCTCCCCATGGCATCATGGGTACCGCACTTCATATTCGAATCCGAGCGGGTCATGCGAGATTTGTAGCTGTCCTCATTTTTGTTTTTTTGGCTTGAATCTTGAGGAAGTCTCAGGCGGGAGCCTCGTTTGTGAGTGAATTGCGAGGAAGTCTCAGGCGGGAGCTTCCTCCTTATGGGCCCCGCACCTCATGTTTGAATTTGAGCGGGTCATGCGACACCTGTAATTGTCGTCACTTTTGCGCCCCTCCGGCTTGAACATGGTTGATGTCTCGAGCGGGAGCGTCTGTCAGTGAACCGCGAGGAAATCTCGAGTGCATCCCTAAAGGGTCCCCACCTCCATGTTCGAATCCGAGCGGCGCATCGGCAGACTTGTGGCTGTCGTCACTTTTGGGTTCCTCAGGCCTGAATATGGAGGAAGCCTCGAGCGGGAGCCTCGTCTGTGCGCGAATCGCGAGAAAGCCTCGAGCGAGAGCCGGGGGTGTACAGCTTACGCAGGTCCCATTGGTCCCACGGATCCCACGGGCCGAACAAGACCAACAGGCCCCAGAGGTCCCTCGGGTGCCACAGGCCCCACAGGTCCCACAGGCCCTACTGGTCCTACAGGCCCCGCAGGTCCCACAGGTCCCACACGTGCTACAGGGCTGGCAAGTCCCACAGGTCCCACAGGCCCCACAGGTCCAAGAAACCCCACAGGCCGCACAGGTCCCACAGGACCCACAGGTCTCACAGGCCCCACAGGCCTCACAGGTCCCGCAAGTTCTGCGGGCCCCACAGGCCCCACAGGTCTCACATCCCGCAGGTCTCACAGGCCCCACAGGCCCCACAGGTCGCACAGGCCCCGCAGGTCGCACAGGTTCCACGGGTCGCACTGGCCCCACAGGCCCCGCAGGGCTCAAAGGCCCCACGGGTCCCACGGGTCTCGAAGGCCTCACAGGTCGCATCCTGGTATCCTGGTATCCTGGCATCATCCCCCTCGTTTGTCGTCGATGATGATGATGATGATGATGATGATGATGATGATGATGATGATGATGATGATGATGATGATGATGATGATGATGATGATGATGATGATGATGATGATGATGATGATGATGATGATGATGATGATGATGATGATGATGATGATGATGATGATGATGATGATGATGATGATGATGATGATGATGATGATGATGATGATGATGATGATGATGATGATGATGATGATGATGATGATGATGATGATGATGATGATGATGATGATGATGATGATGATGATGATGATGATGATGATGATGATGAGGATGATGCTGATGCTGATGCTGATGCTGATGATGATGATGATGATGATGATGATGATGATGATGATGATGATGATGATGATGATGATGAGTCTCATGCGCGCTAAGAAGGTTCTCATGCGGGGTTCCCTCGTCGGAGTACTTATCCTCCCGCGCGTAACGGTCGTTGCCCGGGTTGAGCCCCCACCGCTGGGTAACGGTACCGATCGCGCGTTTGTTTGGGGGGGGCTTTTGCCAGTGCACGCAGGCGCCCTGCCAGTGCTCGTAGGCTCTGCGCTGGTGCTCCACCCCGCCCAGGCGTTACAGCGGGGGCCCGTGCCAAGAGACACCCTGCTCGCCTCTGGGGTGCCCTGGGTCTCTTGGGCTTCGATGGCTTTGCGCTGGAGAGCGTGACGTTCCCACGCCGAAAATCGATGGATGTCCTGGGGTCTCAGGGTTGGATCTCGTGTGGAGTGTTTCTTGTGGTCGGGCCCCTACTGTACCGTTACGTGGGACCCCTCCCCCTCCCTGGGTAGCGACCGCAACGCGGAAATAAAATCTCTGGCTTTGGGGCGCTTTCGGGGTGTCCTGGGGCTCGCTCGTCGCCGCGGCTGGACAGATAGCGCGTCCCGGGAGAGGTTTGGGTGCCGATTCTCGAGCGGCAGCTAGGAGATCCGACGTCGCGAAAGAGTTGCGGCATGGGCCCAGAGATCCGGACCTCAGCTTTCCCTGCTGCACTTCTCGAGCCCGATCGATCTGTGAGGGCCCCCTGGGGGTCCGAACCGGGGCGAAGACTCCCGTCGTAATTTTTTCGCGACGTCCAGATCCGCAGACGGCGGCTCACACACCACCACCGTCCCTGGCAAGGGCCATCCTGGCCATCCTGAACCCTAGGACGGCGTCCTTGGCGAGGCCAGGAGGGGTCTACGCGTGTGGTGACAGACCGCGCGGTGATCTCTCTCCTCCCTCCATCCCCCCTTTCCTCCCCCGACCTCCTCCCTCCCCTCTTCCTCCTCTTCCCTCCCTGCTCTCCTCTTCCTCCTCCTCCTCCTCCTCCTCCTCCTCCTTCCGCTCCCCCTCCTCCTCCTCCTCCTCCTCCTCCTCCTCCTCCTCCTCCTCCTCCTTACCCTCCTCCTCCTCCGCCTCCTCCTTCTCCTCCCCTCCTCCTCCTCCTTACCCTCCTCCGCCTCTTCCTCCTCCTCCTCCTCCTTCTCCTCCTCCTTACCGTCCTCCTCCTCCTCCTTACCGTCCTCCTCCTCCTCCTTCTCTTCCCCTCCTCCTCCTCCTCCTCCTCCTCCTCCTCCTCCTCCTCCTCCTCCTCCTCCTCCTCCTCCTCCTCCTTCTCTCCCCCCCACACAAGTACACTATATGAATATTACTCTCCTCTCTCCCCGGGTGACGTCCAGAAAATATTCGCCCCGCCTCCGCGTATTGTTTTTTAAGCGCAGGATTCCCGGGAAACGGTTTTCGCTTGGGTTTTTGTTTCAAAATGCTGCTCTCGCTTCAGCACTGGCGTCATTTTCGGGCTACCGCTCGTTTCGAATTGTGCTCCCGCTGCAACGCTGGCCTCATTTCCGCGCTTCCGCTCGTTCCGAATCGTGGTCCCGCTGCAGCGCTGGCGTCATTGCTTCCGGCACCATGCCACGGCATGGTTTTCGGTCCTTCCAAATACGCCCCCAAACATAGAAAATGCCTCCCCGAAAAAACTATCGGAAGTGATTACACATTCGGTGTCGATTGTTGATTGCTTGGGCCGCAGAAGCCCCCCCCCCTTCGTCGGGCCCCGTGGACCTCAAAAAACGATCCGACTGGAAAACGCCGATCCGACTGGACCCCGTCAGGGGTCCAGGGGCCCAGTGTGTGTGTGTGTGTGCGTGTGTGAGCCGATTATTCATGGAAGCCAGACCATCGAGCCTGGCAGCCCGCCGCACTATTCCCTGACATCCGTCCTCGCCTTCCGCAGCTTCCCCCGCCGCCGCCGCCGTCGTCGTCCGCGTCGTTGTCGCCGTCAGCAATATCTGTGCGTTTCAAGGAGCTTTCGGAAGTCTTCGGGCCATCCGCCACGCCTCGTGCAGAGCTGTCCGGGGAACCCAGGGAGATTTGGAAGAGGGTTCGGGGAACGCAAGGCAGCGTGTCGAATGGAGGGGGGGGCCTACACTAATACAGTACCCTGACCAGACGGCTCTTGGCATTCGAAAGCGCCCACATCGGGCAGGCACGGTTGCGCAGGACATGGAGCCGAGATTCCGGACAGGCATTCTCCTTTCGTGCACGGGCCATTTGCCCTCCAAGGCATCCGGCGCCATGCCATCGCATGCAATGCGATATTGCATTGTGCTCCGCTGCGCGATGCCATGCTTTGCGATGTTACGCTTTGTGATGCAATGCTGCGCTATGCAGTGCCAAGACATGCTTTGACATGCTCTGCTCTGCCGTGCTGTTCTACACCGTGCTATGCCGTGTTGTACCATGCATCGCACACCCTCTCGGGATCATTGCCTTACTCGAAATCAGCCTGTGCGCATAGAGAAGAGATCTGCGCCATGGTGAGGGTTGGGAGGGAGGGGTACGACGACAGATATGACGCGAGCGCACCTAGCTTGTCATCCTCCCCCTCCTCCCCCTCCTCCTCCTCCTCCTCCTCCTCCTCCTCCTCCTCCTCCTCCCCTTGTCTCCTCCTCTTCTTCCTCCTCCGCCCCCTCCTCCTCCTCCTCCTTTGTCCTCCTCCTCCATTCCTTTTCCTTATCAATAATTTCTCCCTGTCGCACCCCGAGGCCAGTTTTTAGGGCGGGCCGGGCGTTTCGCCTGAGACTTCCTCACCATTTGTGATACTGAAACTCAACAATTGGCAACAGCTTCACAGATGGAGGGCGGGCGGTTTTCAAAATGAGTCTCTCGCCGTAGCGCCGCGCACATTCGCTCTATAGAATTGCAAGAGCTTCACCGATTGAGGATCACCCGTTTTCACAATGCGGCTCTCGCCGTAACGCCGCGTACCTTCGTTTTAAACATTTGCAAGAGCTTCACGGATTGAGGATCACCCGTTTTCAAAATCCGGTTCTCGCCTTAGCGCCGCGCGCATCCGTTCTAAAAAGTTGCAAGAGCTTCACGGATGGAGGGTGGCTCCTTTTCAACATGTGGTTCTCGCCGTAGCGCCACGCGCATTCGTTTTATAATTTTTGCAAGATTTCACGGGCTCCCGCGATCAACTTACCAGAAAATTGTGCTTTTGGACGGATTCAGGATTTTGCGGGTGCAACAGTTACGTTGATTCGCGGTGTTGAAATCCGAGAACTGGCGTTCTGGCACGATCCAGAATGTTCAAGACGTAACGGTCATGTTGACCCGTGGCGTTGGAATCCCGAGGACAATGTTTTGGCATGCTTTGGGGTCTTCAAACGGTTGTCTTCCAACGAGGCAGATCTCTCAATGGAAGTGAACCGTTGTAGGGGTCTATGAAGAGGGAGCTTGGAGGGAGGGTGTATTCCAACATCGTTGATGGCTCTTGTGTTTACACTGGTCCTCCTCCTCCTCCTCTTCCTCCTCCTTCTGTCCTCCTCCTTGCCCTCCTCCTCCTCCTCCTCCTCCTCCTCCTCCTCCTCCTCCTCCTTCCTCTTCCTCCTCCTCCTCCTCCTCCTCCTCCTCCTGCTTCTCCTCCTGCTCCTCCCCCTCGCCCGTGTGCCGCGGCTGTGTTTTTTGTCTGCCGGCCCCACCGTGCTCGCCCGCAGCATGCGGGGGGTGGGGGCGGGGCGCGGCCTGCAAGCTTGCCTGGGGGGGTCGCTCGAAGTTGTGACGTGGCGTGTCCCCTCCGATGGCGATGCCGACGACGACGACGACGACGACGACGACGACGACGACGACGACGACGACGACGACGACGGCGACGACGACGACGACGACGACGTTGCGGACGTTGCGGACTGTGGCGCGGGCCAGGTCTCCCCGGCCCGCGCCGAGCGCCCGCGCGCGAGGCGCGCGCGAGGCGCGCGCGGCCGCCCGCGCCCGCCAGGGCGCCTCGGCCCCCTCGGAGGCTGACCTCTGGCCTCTGCGGTCTCCCGCCTCGCGGCCTCCTGGAGGAGGCGGCGAGGCCCCCTCTGGGCCTGGCCGCCTGCCCACGGGCCGTCGGCCCTCCGCCGCCTCCTCCTCGGCTCCGGGCCCTGCCCCGGGCGCCTCCCTGAGGCCTCCGGGGCCTCCCTCCTCTCGCCTGCCTCGCGAGCTCTCAGCGCCACGGCGGCCTCCGCCTTGGCGCCCAGCTCGAGCAGCTCCACCTCGCCTACTCCGTAGGCCCTAGACCACGTCGACCAGCGGGCGAACTCTCCCCTCTTGGCCGCACCTCTGCACTCCTCCTTGCTCCTCGCGCCGCTTCTTGGGTGGAGCCTCCTCGGCTTCTCCACCACCTGCCGGCAGCAGCTCCTGCTCGGAGCCCTCTTCTAGCTCCTGCTCGAACTTGCACCTCTCCTTCTTCCTTGAGGGCAACTGGTGGAGCCCCTTCACCATTTTCTGATCTGCTCCTTGGGGCCATCGGCTCCCTGGCATCTGCCGAACAGCAGCCCCTGTCTCCTCGCGAGCGTGGCGAGGTGCCCTCTCGCCCACCACACCTTCGGCAGACCACTCCCTTCTCGCCGCCGTCGGCCGCGTAGTCCACGAGGTGGTGCCCACGCCACCCGACTGGCCCTCCTCCTTGCCGCGCCCCTGCCTCCTCCTCGGGCCCCTCTTCCTCTCTTGGGGACCTCTCCTCCTCTGGGTGCTCCTTCTCCCTTCTCGAGGAAGTCCATCAGCTCCTGCGGTCTCCCCAAGGTCTGCCGCACTTTCGGGCGGAACGCCGTCTGCGTCCTGCTGGTCGTCGTGCATTATCACAGCGGACTGGGCGACACACCTGGCCACTTCCTTGGCGAGGACATGCGCTCCTCTGGCCGCTCTCCCTCTCTCCTCACCGCGTGGCCAGAGCCTCGCAGCTTTCTTCGCGTGGGAGTCCGCCACTTCGCTGCCTTCCCTCATCCACCTCTCCGTGCCCGTCACGCATTCCGTCTTCGAGCGATGGACCTTCACCTTGGTGACGTGCACGAGCTTTTGCCCTCCCAGCTCGGCCCACCACATCCTCCACATGTGCCTCCTCGTCGCTCCTCTCGCCAGCGCCTGGCTTTTGGGTGCCGCACTCCTGGTCGAACCCGCGCAGTCGCTGAAGACCTCCAGCGGCGCCCGCGCGTGGCTGGCCAGGACGTGGACGGCGAAGTCCTCGCCGTCTCGCGCCTGCTGCTGCGGCCCCCATGCGGTCGGCACGATGCCGCACGCCGTTCCCAGCACCTCGCCGCGATCGCTGAGCATCACCGCTGACCAGCCTGCCCTCCTCAGCGTCTCCTCCTCGGGGTCCATAGCGGACCCGTCCGCGCACACCCTGCCGTAGAAGTAGTCTCCTGGGGGCGCCTTGGGCCCAGACCACGTCGTCCTTGTCCTCCCTCTCGCGCGGCTCCATCCAGGCCTGCGTCAGCCCGGGGACTAGTCCCCCGGCGAACCTCTCGCCTGCCTCCTCTCCTTGCTCCCGCGCCCTGGCCGCCGCCTTCTGGACCATCCTGGGGCAAAGGTCCTCCCCCCGTCTGTCTGTACTACATGTTCGTCTCGTCTGGGTCCTCCTTCGTCCCCCGCGCCCTGGCCGCCTCCTTCTGGACCATCCTCTCGCACTTTCGCATGAATCCGCCGCCTTCTGGGCCATCCTCTTCGCCTGCTCCGCGTCGCGCTTCGAAGTGCCTGTGCCACAGCGTGCCCCTCCTCGCCTCGCACCTCCTGCACGGTGTCAGTGGCCGCCAGCCCTCTGCCGAGCAGCCTCGCCTGCGTCCGTATTGCCCCTCCCGCACCGCACCCGAGCGCCCTCCTTGAATTCAAAACGCTGGTCCTTGAATTCAAAACGCCATTTTTTTGAATGCAAAAACCTGGTTTTTTTGAGTTCAAAAAACCAGTGCCTCGGGCTCCACGTCTCCGTCTCCTCCTCCGCCTGCAGCTCCTCGACGTGCCTCCAGTGCAGCGGCCCTTCCCAGGCCGACCTCCTGCCTGGGCGTGGCATGGCCTTTGCATCCTCCGCCCAGCGCGCAGTCCCGGCCACCGTGTCGCTGACCAATGCTGGCCACGGCCGCTTCAGGTCCAGCTCCTCACCCGTCGGCATCTTGAGCGGGAAGGTGGTGCTCATCTGGATGCCAGCTCTCGCCGTGGTGAGTCGCAGGGCGTCCGCTGGGCTCGTCGCTGCGGCCCATGGCCGTTCGCGTCTGAGCACTCTGGCGCTGTCGTCCTAGCGGCTGCTCATCACTGCTAGCGCAAGCGCCGCGGTGGGTGCCACCGCACACGCCGCCCAGGCCCTGGCCGCCTCGGCAGCCGCCAGCACTCCTGAGTCCCTCCTCCCTCCTTCTGCCGTCGTCCTCAGCCTCAGGTAGGTCACCACTCCTTTCGGCAGCCAGTCTTCTGCCTTCGCCGCCTGGATCCTCAGCTGGTGCACCTTGTGGTCTGCCACCCCTGTGACCCCTCCACCCCACAAGGCTGTCGCCGTCGGACTGCTTCTCTGGAGGTGCGCTGCCTTGGTCGCACCTGCACCCTCACTGCTGCCTTCGCTGCCTTCGCCATCCTCGTGTCCTGCTCTCCTGTACGCCTCCACCTACCGTCACTCGAGTTGCACCCTAGGTTCCGACCCGACGCCACCCTCCCCAGCCTCAAGCCCGTCTGGGTCAGCTCCACCTGCATCAGCTTCGCCAGGTCCGCATCGCTGGTCAGGTACTTGGCCTTGCCCATGACGCCACCAGGTCCAGCGCCTCGAAGCTGTCGATCGTGTGGGTGAGCGCCTGCGGGAGCTGCTGCATGACCTGCTCTGCTTTGCCCACCGCCTGCAGCATCACGTCGTCCACCACGTTCTGGTATCTTAACAGGGGACGAGCGTCCTGTGCATCATGGCCTTGGCGAGCCCCGTCGCACACGAGCACCCTGCCGCCAGCGTCCCGTTCACTTCCAGCTCCTCACTTACGCACTACGCCCGACACGTCGGCGAGCAGTACAACCGAAAGCAGCACCACGAGTGTGACGAGCACGACGAGTACGAGCAGCACCACTACGCCCAGCACGTCGGCGAGCAGTACGACCGAGAGCAGCCCTACGAGTGTGACAAGCACGACCAAGACCAGCAGCACCACTACGCCCAGCACGTCGGCGAGCAGTACGACCGAAAGCAGCACCACGAGTGGGACGAGCACGACGGGTACCAACAACACCATCATGCACAGCACGTCGGCGAGCAGTACGATGGTCGTTAAGTGGATGGGGTGCGCCTTATGGGGTGGTGGTAGGGCCACTCACTGGGACATCATGCTCACGTCCATCGGCCTCGCCTTCTGAGGTCGGCCGCTGGCGGCAGTCTGGAGTTTCCCTCGGTGATGCGCGATGCGTCGCTGCTCCACCTTCCTTCTGCTCCCCTCTCCCTTCCCCTGGCCTTCCTTTGGCCTTGTTCTGTGCATTGTAGTTGTACGCGTGCACGCGACGGGCACTCCCGCTGCGCGGGCTCCTGTTACTCAGCGAGCTTCCAGCGCCCGCCGTTTGGAGTCGTCTTCTATGATTACCCGTCACAGCGTTGTTTGTTTGTCTTCCCTGCCTTCTTTTCTTCTCTCGTCCTCTCTCTGTCTTCTCTTGCTCCCCTTACTTCGACCTTGCACTGTTTCACTGGCTGCGTTGAGTGGGGTCGCGCACGTCTCTCGGCTTCTCCTCCCTCCTTCTGCGCCTCCTTCTGTGGCCAGTGCTTTATTTTTCTGGCAGGGGCCAGACTTTAAAACCGTTGGCGTGTGGGTCAGCCGAAATGTTGGCGGCTGAGCTACCCTCGCTCCCTCCTCGGCCCCCTCTGCTCCGCCTCTCTTGTTTTTTTCTTAGGGCCCGAACGCGCACCTCCTCCCCCCACCTCGCCTGGTGCCGTGGCTTTCAGTTGGCGTCAGCATCTCGGAACAGCACGCGGTGCCGAGCAATCCCGACGCCCTCCATCCGCTCCTCCGTCTCACGCTGCGGCGCAGTGTGGCTGCAGTGGTGTGCAGTGCTCGCAGGTGGAGGCATCGTGTTGGTGGCTCGTCCGGTGGACAAAACTTCCAGCTCCTCACTTATGATGACCCCCCAGTTGGCCCTCCTCGGCATCCTGGAACTGACGCGCAGCAGCCTGCCTCAGTAGCTCCATGGAGAAGTCCACCTTTTCGCCCTCCTGCCGGAGCACCTCGTGGGACACGTGCTCGTAGAATTTGGCTGGGTCCATGAGCCCCGCGCCGTGCGCGAACCCTGCCTTCCTCGCATGGCACGCCACCAGGTTGGAGATCATCCCCGCCATGTCGCACGGCGTGTCTGCGGCCCCCCCAGAAGTGCTCCTGATGTCCTGCACCCACTTGGCGACCAGCGGCTGCCTGAGCCTGCTCCACAACCTCATGGCGAAGGCCAGCAGCTGGATCGGTCGCACTCCCCCTTCTGGCTTCGCCAAGAGCACCGTCACCGCATTCCATATTGCCGTGGGCTTCGCGTTCGCCTCCCACATATGGAGTCGGTCCGCCAGCCTGTCGCTGTGGCTGTCGAGGAGCGAGCGGCTCCAGCAGCCTGGGGTGCAGCTTGTCCCAGCCTTGCCTCGTGCCTCTCGGGTACTGTTTGAGCACACCTCTGATCTGTTGCCCGCTGTTCGGCCCCAGCGCTTGGCCACTCGTCCAGTCCTTGAGGTGCGCCTCTCTCCTTCTGCGCTCCCTGGCCCAGGGTGGCATCCAGGCCGCGAGTACCACGTCCATGGCTGCCATGCCTGCTTGCGGGACGCCATCCACCTTTGGGTCGTCGTCCTCCTCGCACACCGCTCCCTGTCTCAGGAACTTGAACGCCGCAGAGCCTCCAGCCTCCTTCATGACTTTCTTCGCCCAGCTCCTCCAGGTTGCGTTCGCCTCCTTGATGTCTTTTTCGTTCCTCTTGGCCAGCTCCCGCTGCGCTGTCTCGATCACCTCTTGCTGCGTCTCCACGCATGGTCGCGAGCACCTGCGCCGAGCCTCCAGCCAGCGGGCCCTATTCGGCCAGCTGCCTGCGTGTTCCTCCTCCTTCTGAAAAGGCCCTCCTCTCGGTTATCCTCGCACGGCCCCCCGTGGCTCCTTGCAGTTTTGAGCCTGACCAGCGCGGCCGTCCTGTTCGCCCACTTGTTGGTCTCCGCCCTGGCGGCTTCCTCAGCCCTCGCTGCCACTCTGTCTTCAGGTCCTGCCATGCGAACTTCGGACCGTCAGCTCTCTTCACATTCACATCGCCCATCTGGTGTAGCTCATGCAGGTCGCCCTCCGCCTCCGTGAGCCATTCCTGGCACGCTTCCTCTGCCTCGCGAGCTTCCCAGACCAGCTTCTGTAACGGTGCCTCCCTCACATGGGGCGGCAGCGTAAACTCCACCTCCCAGGGTTCGCGAAACACCATCACCAGCGCGTAGTCCCACAGGAGCGCGAGGGCTGCGCGCTAGCCCCCTCAGCAGCTTCACCTCCTTCACCAGAGACGCCAGGTCGTTCGCCACGATGAAGAAGTCGAGCTCCTCGCCCTCCATCGTCGCCTCGCCGCTGGGCGCCAGCGTTGCTCCTGCCTTGCGGGCCCATTCATCCAGCCAGCTAGGGTCCATGTTCCAGTCGCCGCCGATGATGATCCACGGGACCCTCCGCCTCCTCAGCTCTCCTGCCATTTCCTCCAGCTGCTGATTGTTGCCCTCGAGGCCCACCGTGTGCCCCGGGTAGACCGAGCCGATCAGCACTCTGACCTGCAGGCCAAGGTCGACCTCCGCAGCTGCCAACGGTGTGGCCACCGCTCTCCTATGCCTCCTTCTATGCCTCTGCTGCCTCTTGCCTCTCGTTGTCGTCGCCAGTACCGCCGCTCCACCACTGGGCTCCAAGGCCGTCTCCCCTGTAGCCTGTACTGCTCCTAGCCGCGCTTTACAGCTCCTCATCCTCGCCACTTCCTCGCGTGGTCCAGCGCCCTCTCGGACTTGCACTTATGCTCCTGCAGCAGTACGCACCCGGGCAGGTCGAAGCCCTTGGTCTGCGCCTACAGCAGCTCGGCTGAGCTCCAGCTGTTGGCGCTGGCCGCCCAAATTATGATCTCGTCGTCCTGCTTGAGGGTCTTGTCGACGCCGTAGTGACTCCTTTGCCCTTCCGTTCCAGGCTGGAACGAGGGGCGCCTCTTATGTCCTTTGCTGGGACAATTTATCCCAGGCTGCCCCCAACTGCCTGACGCTGTGCATGAGCCTTGGGGCTGAGTCCCAAGGCAGCTCCTCACGCCACCTCCCTTGCCGAACGACCCGTCCGCGTTGGCCGCCGCCGCCTCCTCCTGGGCTTCTCTTTCCCTCGTCCTGGGCCCCCCGCCCCCCAGCAGCCGCCTGAAATCCTCCCGTGCTTCGTTGAGCAGCCGCTCGTGCGTGGTGACGAACAGCTCCGCTCCGCAACGTGTGGGGGTTCCCCTGCTGGTCCAGGCCCAGGTCCTCGAAGATTCCTACGGTCGCCTCCCTCTGCGTGCGTCCCCACCTCCAGGCCTCCCTGCAGATGTCCTCGACCACGCTCCTGAGCGTGCCTGCTCCTCTGGCCGCCTCGGCCCATCTCCTGTTGGCGGGGGGCCTCAGCGCCATCTCGGTGTAGGCAACGCACCACTCCATCCATTCACCGTCGCCCGCTTCAGCCTCGCCCAGGGACGTGACCCACCTACCCGCGCATTTCCCCGGGTAGTTCGTGACTCTGGTCTCGTCCGTCACCGCCATCATCGGGTAGGGAGGCTTGCTCATGTCCTGTGGCTGGCCTCCATCCTCTCCCCCACTGGCTTGGCAGCCCGCCGCTCCGCCTTTGCTGCGTCCAACGCGTGGCGACTTCGAACCTGTGGTGTTCCCCATCGGGGCTTCCCCAGGATTTTGCCCAGCAAAACGTTGCGACGGCGAACCGGAGGTGTTCCACGCTTCTGGGGCTTCCCCAGGATTTGGGTCCGCAGCCGTTCGCCCGTCCTCGTGGGGGGGGCGCAGCACTGGCGGCTCTTCCCCCCCGCTCCTCGCCTGGCCCTCCTTGGGCGGGCGCCGCACCGGCAGCACTTCACCCCCGCTCGTCGCGTGGCCCTCCGGGGGGGGGCGCCGCCCTGGCGGCACTTCCGCCCCCCCCGCTTCTCTCCTGCTGCCCTTGCCGAAGTCGCCGTCCTTGAACCAGGGGTCGTCCCTCGCGTCCTGGAAGCCTCTGTCCATCCTGCGCCTGGGCACCGAGAACCCCAGCGCGCTGGCGAGCTGCCACTGGTCGTCCTCCTCGCTGTCGTCCCAGAGCGTGTAGCCGCCGCTCTCCTGGGGAAGCCCCGATGGGGAAGCCCCGATGGGGAAGCCCACTCTCACCAGCTGTGGCTGTCCTCCAGGCCCCAGCAGCGCGCCTTCGAAATGCCCGCTCACGTGCTGCTGCAGCTCCAGCACTGGGTCGAACCTGACGGCCCGCAGCTCCTCCTGGCACCTCGCAGGGCTTCCTGTTGCCATGGTGATGCTACCCACCAGAAGGAGCACCGCTTGCAGTGCCCCCCTCCCCAGCCTTGCCTTCCTTGCCGCACTTGTCCTTCTTGCCGTACTTGCCGCCCTTGCTTGCGCCCGCGGCGTCCTGCCCCATCCGCTTCTGGCCAGCGTCTGATTTAGCCTCTGCCAGAGCCGCTGCCCTTCGCCTGGGCTTGGTCTCCTCATCCAGCTCCGTCGTGGGCTCCTCCTTGATTGTCGTCGCTGATGCCACCGCCTCTGCCTTGGGGCCTTGCTTGCCCACGCCAGCCGCCGCTGCAGCTGCTGCCGTGGCCTCCTCCTTGCATGCCTCCTCGCCGACTCGCCTCTTCTTGGTCGCACTTCTCGCGCGCGCCCTGGCCTGGTCCACTCCTCCCTTGAGCTTCTCGGCCTTCTGCTCGGCTTGCTCGTAGAGCTCAGCGAACACCCTCTCCACTTCCTTCCTCTTCTGGTCGGTATCCTCCAGCGTGCTCCTGCCCTCCTCCTGATAGCGCTCCAGCTCGGCCCTGGACTTTTCCAGCTCCGCCTTGGCCTCCGCGTCGTCCACCTCGTCGAGCTCCTCCAGGAGGTCCGACGGGATCTCGAAGCCCAGGAACCTCTCCGCAGCTGCAGGCCCTGTCGGCCGACTTTCTCCACCCTCACCGGTGGACCCCTCCAAGGACTCCTTGCTTGCCTCCTCCAGGTAGGCCTTGGCCGAGGCACACTCGTCGGCCGCGGTGTCGCGCTCCTGCTCCAGCGCCTCCAGCTGGGCCCTTGTAGACCTGACCCGCGCCTCTTTCGCCTGCAGCACCTGCCAGCACCCGCCCGCCTACGCCCTGGTCGCCTAGAGCTTCACGAATTTGTCCGCCGCTTTGGCCTTTGCCGCCGTCTCCCCATCGCTCGGGGCCGCGTACCTCCGCAGGGCCGCCAGTGCCGCCTCCTGGCGCCCCGCCTGCATCGCCTCCAGCGCTTCCCTGACCTCCTTGCGTGTCGGACCTGGCGCACCGCCGAGCTCGTGCCCCTCCAGCACCTCTGCGGCCCGCGCTGGAGCCACGCGAGCGGCTGCCCCGCGGGCCCAGCGCAGGCATGCCGACGATTGTGCCGCAGGAGCACCATCCGTTACTCTTCCCTCAGAGGTCATCCCACGTCCAGTCGCCGC